TTAGTTGTTTCCTTGGAACCAAGTAGATATTCTTAGCATGATTTTCGCATCGCTTCTTTGAAAAAATAAGATATACATCCCGAAACTTCAAAAATTTTTATAAATCTGGTAAACCCCGAAATATGCACGAATCTGACTGAACCCGGTTTTTTCACAGATCTGAATCGGTTCAGAATTTGCATAGATCTGTTTCTGCCCGGAATTCGCACAGCTATGATTCTGCCCGGATTTTGCATGAACCAAATTCTCTAAATCATCTTCATAGACATCGTAAATTGGATCGCCATAGATCTCTCTATAGATCTCCTAACTCTTTTCTCTCGCGACAAAAGGACTTTCGCCTGGATAGGATAGATGCTTGAACTTACCATTATCTGTTTATGCCCAAATCTGGTGCACAAAACAGGAAATCTGCATATATCGGATTTTGCACAGCTTCAACAGGAAACCCGAATTTTGCACAGATCTGTATCCGCCCAGAATTTGCACAGATCTGTTTCTGCCCGGAATTCGCAAAGCTTTGATTCTGCCCGGATTTTGCATGAACCAGATTCTCTAAATCATCTTCATAGACATCGTAGATCGGATCGCCACAGATCTCTCTGTAGATCTCATGACTCTCTTCTCTCTCGACAAAAGGACTTTCGTCCTGGATAGGATAGATGCTTGAACTTACCATGATCACCAGAATCGTTCTCTGATTAAGAAATCAAAGAGGCGCGGCTCTGATACCAAATAATGGAGCGGAAGTATCTAGGGATAGAACTAGATTCGTTGATTTTGAGAATACCCAGAAACTAGGGTTTGAGAGTCCTCCTCTCAGGACTTTTGCAAAATCTCTTATGGTTGTGAATACTCTTCATAGTAGTTTATCAAGATCTCTTTAGAAATCTTTCGATTAATCAGTTCATCAATATCTGAATACAATATGAGGCCTAAGAAGACTATTTATAATAAAGCAGAAAACCCTAGAAGACTATTCTAAAAGATATTCATTAAAATATAAATCTAAATAATTAAATTGATAATAATGATATTTGGAATATTTCCAAATATCTCGCTGCATCAGGTCTCGTCGGCCAAGAAAAGATTCATCCTCGAATCTTCTATCTGCGCTGCATCAGCTCCCCCGGCCTAGAAAGATTCGTCTTCGAATCTTCAATAGTTTCCTTGGAACCAAGTAGATCTTCTTAGCATGATCTTCACATCGCTTCTTTGAAGAAATAAGATGTACATACAGAAACTTTAGATCTTCCCCGAGATTCGCACAGATCTTATTTTTCAGAAAATTTCCATAAATCTGGTAAAATCCTAAATATGCACGAATCTGACTCAATCCGGTTTTCGCACAGATCTGGTTCTGCCCGGATGTTGCACGATCTGTGTTTCGCACGAAATCTGCACAGAACACGAACTCTGCACATATCGCATTTTGCACGGCTTCAACAGGAAATTTGAATTTTGCGCAGATCTGAATCCGCCCGAAATTTGCACAGATCTATTTCTTCCCGGAATTTGCACTGCTCTGATTCTGCCAAGATTTTGGATGAACCAGATTCTCTAAATCATCTTCATAGACATCGTAGATCGAATCGCCATAGATCTCTCTGTAGATATCCTGACTCTTTTCTCTCTCGACAAAAGAACTTTAGTCCTGGATATGATAGATGCTTGAACTTACTATGATCACCAGAATCAATCTCTGATTAAGAAATCAAAGAGGCGAGGCTCTGATACCAACTGATGGAGCGGAAGCTTTTAGGGATAGAACTAGATCCGTTGATTTTGAAAATACCCAGAAACTAGGGTTTGAGAGTCCTCCTCTCAGGGCTTTTGCAAAATCTCTTAGGGTTGTGAATACTCTTCATAGTGGTTTATCAAGACCTCTTTAGAAATCTTTCGATTAATCAATTCATCAATAACTGAATACAATAGGAGGTCTAAGAAGACTATTTATAATAAAGAAGAAAACTCTAGAAGACTATTCTAAAAGATATTCAATAAAATATAAATCTAAATAATTAAATATATAATAATGATATTTGGAAATATTCCAATTATCTCGCTGCATCATGTCTCCCCGGCCAAGAAAAGATTCATCCTCGAATCTTGTATCTGCGCTGCATCAACTCCCCCCGGCCCAGAACGATTCGTCCTCGAATTTTCAGTCGTTTCCTTGGAACCAAGTAGATATTCTTAGCATGATTTTCACATCGCTTCTTTGAAGAAATAAGATGTACATCCAGAAACTTCAGATTTTGCCCGAATTCGAACATATCTTATTTTTCAGAGAATTTTCATAAATCTGGTAAAACCCTAAATATGCACGATCCGTGTTTCGCACGAACTCTTTACATATCGCATTTTGCAGGGCTTCAACAGGAAACCCGAGTTTTGCGCAGATCTGAATCCATTCGGAATTTGCACAGATCTATTTCTTTCCAGAATTTGCACAGCTCTGATTCTGCCCAGATTTTGGATGAACCAGATTCTCTAAATCATCTTCATAGACATCGTAGATCGGATCACCATAGATCTCTCTGTAGATCTCATGACTCTCTTTTCTCTTGACAAAAGGACTTTCGTCATGGATATGATAGATGCTTGAAGTTACCATGATCACCAGAATCGTTCTCTGATTAAGAAATCAAAGAGGCGCAAGCATCTTACCATGATCACCAGAATCGTTCTCTGATTAAGAAATCAAAGAGGCGCGACTCTGATACCAACTGATGGAGCGGAAGCTATTAGGGATAGAACTAGATCCGTTGATTTTGAGAATACCCAGAAACTAGGGTTTGAGAGTCCTCCTCTCAGGACTTTTGCAAAATCTCTTAGGGTTGTGAATACGCTTCATAGTGGTTTATCAAGACCTCTTTAGAAATCTTTCGATTAATCAATTCATCAATAACTGAATACAATAGGAGGCCTAAGAAGACTATTTATAATAAAGCATAAAACCCTAGAAGACTATTCTAAAAGATATTCATTAAAATATAAATCTAAATAATTAAATATATAATAATGATATTTAGAAATATTCCAATTATCTCGTTGCATCATGTCTCGCCGGCCAAGAAAAGATTCGTCTAGAATCTTGTATCTGCGCTGCATAACCTCCCCCCGGCCTAGAAAGATTCGTCTTCGAATCTTCAGTCGTTTCCTTGGAACCAAGTAGATATTCTTAGCATGATTTTCACATCGCTTCTTTGAAGAAATAAGATGTTTGCCCGAATTCGCACATATCTGATTTTTCAGAGAATTTCCATAAATCTGGTAAAACCCGAAATATGCACGCATCTGACTTAACCTAGTTTTCGCACAGATCAGGTTCCGTCCGGATGTTGGACGATCCGTGTTTCGCATGAAATCTGCACAGAAAACGAACCCTGCACATATCGGATTTTGCACGGCTTCAACAGGAAACCCGGATTTTGCACAGATTTGAATCCGCCCGGATTTTGCACAGATCTATTTCTGCCTGAAATTCGTACAGCTCTGATTCTGCCCAGATTTTGCATGAACCAGATTCTCTAAATCATTTTCATAGACATCGTAGATCGGATCGCCATAGATCTCTCTGTGTCTCCTGACTGTCTTCTCTCTCGACAAAAGGACTTTCGTCTTCGTCCTGGATAGGCTAGATGCTTGAACTCACCATGATCACCAGAATCGTTCTCTGATTAAGAAATCAAAGAGGCGCGGCTCTAATACCAACTGAGGGAGCAGAAGCTTCTATGGATAGAACTAGATCCGTTGATTTTGAGAATAACCAAAAACTAGGGTTTGAGAGTCCTCCTCTTAGAGCTTTCGCAAAGCTCTTAGGGTTCACGGTGGTTTCTCAAACCTCTTTTGAAATTTTTCGATTAATCAATTCATCAATAATTGAATACAATATGAGGCCTAAGAAGACTATTTATAATAAAGCATACAACCCAAGAAGACTATTCTAAAATATATTCATTAAAATATAAATCTAAATAATTAAATAGATAATAATGATATTTGGAAATATTCCAAATATCTCGCTGCATCAGGTCTCGTCGGCCAAGAAAAGATTCATCCTCGAATCTTGTATTTGCGTTGCATCAGATTCCTGGCGCAAAACTCGGGAAAACACTCATTCTCAAAGAGAAATGTGAAGATACGGCCGCTTTCAATGAGAAGGAAGAGATTACAGGATTGGAGAATCCATAAACCTTTGGACTTCTAAAAAAAGAGAAGCCAATAAGCTCAAAAGCATATAAAATCGATGAGGAGCATGAATATGGTTCCGATAACAGCCCTAATAAAGTGTCATACACATCTATAAATAAGGTTGATGGAGAATATGAATACATAACCAAGTACAATTCAGAAACTAAATTGTTCTCAAAATTATTAAGCAGTGGGCCTAGAGAGCTAAAAGATCTCAATCTCCATCTCGGCCAAGCCCAAGTGTCAAACCAAATGGGCCAAGCCCAATCTGCAGAACTTTTCTCGTGGTGGAGTCGATAGGATATCTGCGATCTCCCTGGCCGAAGCCGGCAGTGACGGTGAGCAAAAAATTTGGCAGACAGCGGCGGATCCTGCTCAGACTATCGCCGGAGATACGATTGAGGCGTCGGGAAGGTGGGACAGAGAGGAGGGGGACCAGAGAGTATTCGCTAACGAGATAACCTTCGCCGGCGGAGGTGTCGGTTGAATCTGGTAAACGGCGGTGATGGAGATGGTAGTGACTTGGGTAACCGCCATTGATGCATCGTAGAAACCACCTAGATCCGGTGCCGTTCGGTTCTAGTGAGACTGCCGAGTGAGCAAGACGGTGGTTGAGGAGGGAGAGGCTGAGCGTCTGCGACGGTGCGGGAGATGGATTTGGCGGGTTCGGCGGCTCAGGTGAAGGAGATGGTCTCGCCTGTGAAATCTCCATCATCTCGACCTCACGGGAGTGGGGAAGGACGTCGCAGATCGGAGAAGAGCTAAGGGCTCAAACGAAACCATTCCGGGGAAAGGGAGGGGAGGAGGTCGGAGGGTTGGATCTCTCCGGTGAGGAAGCACACCGGCGAGTGGAGTCCTCTTTCTAGCACAAATCGAACGAGGCAAACCGCCGGCCATACACACTGACGACGGTGGCTGTCTCGGGACCATGGACAGAGAGCACATCTCTCTCTAGGGCGAACAGGTACAACTGTTTATACCCATAATTTTTTTATTATAACGTTTTCTTATATTTGAAATTAGTAAGATATTTTGTTTTGTATTAAACATAGTTAATCTCAAAACTTTCATGAATTTGGCCCGTTACATTTATGATCCATTTACCAAATCCAAATACATATATCTTAATTCCAAATTATTTGGCAAGATGTTTTTTTAACTCAATTACATCATAGTTTAATTTTAAGGTTTTAAACCTTAAGATTTCTCCATGAACCCAATAACTCATTTTTTATTCACTTAAAACCAATTTAATTTTATGAATTGTATGTCCATGAAACCTTAATTAATTTTTGATTTTTATATGGTCCAACAGGAAGTGGAGTCAAATTTTCGTACTCCATGATCTTGTAGAGATGACAAACACCACTTACACTAGCGGATCCGAACATACTATTATCGTTTTAGAAACAAACATATATAATAAAGAGAATAAAAGTAAAATGCGATCGACTCCCACATAGAGAACAATTGGATAAGTTATTAACCAAAAGTATGAAGCAGCCGATTCATGCGTGTGATCCAACTAGCGTTTCACACGTGCGCCCGGC